GTCCATTTTCTAACAGACGACTGGTCGAATCTATCAGATTTTTTCTTTCAGTGTAGAAATGGGCACGTAGCTTCATCGATATTTGCAAATTCGTATGCACTGCACCAGCGCAATATATTGGCACGAAGATGCGAAAGGGACTCTCTTGCTCGCGAGGAACATCCGATATGGACTTCGTCGCAAATAATGAAATTTTTCATCCTCTCTACTTTTTACGATAACGATTCGTCGATCGACGGTTAACTTGATCAAGGACCGAGCAATAAAATTTCATTCCGCGTCCGTGACTCTAAAGCTTTGCGCTCGATACCACCTCTTAATCTCGATACTAAATATCTTCGTCTCTTCACTGCGCGCGGTCCTCGTTGGGTTTCTTCGTGGCAGGCGGGGCGGGGCGGCGGCCACTTTTCTTCGAGGAGCCAGATTCAAGATCCCCGAGACTTGACCCAGTCCGTCGGCCTCCGCGGAGAACTTGGTCCATTCACGCGGCACAGGCGACGCGAAAGTTTCGCGAGATACACACCTGCGGCCCAAGTTTTGCGGCCACCGCCGCCGACCGCGTACCTCTACCCGGCTGTGTTATTCAAGATATATATTCCCTGCGCACGGTCTAGGTGATCCGAGCCGCGCGTTGGCCGGCACTTGATCGAAATTAACGCGCTTCGGAAGTTCCGGGCTAATTAATTTTCAGTCCTCGTCGTTAAATTACCGGCATTACCGCTTCTCGATCGGGCGAGCAGCGTGCGTTCCTCCTGCCGTACGAATTGTGGCAAGTCACCGGAATGTTTGACACGGAAAATTCGACGTTTGTCAAAGGCACACCGCGCGCACTGCCGTGCCGTCGTTCAAGCGCGAAATATATGTTTCAGCGCGGGTTTCGCGAAAATCACCTGCACCCGCGTATTAATATTCAGCGAGAGAGCGTACGATAGGAGAGAGGGAGCCTGCATTCGGACGAGGCGCATCTGGAACGCAAACAACGTTGTGCATTTGCACCGGGGGAGGAAAGGAGGTGGCGGGCATTAGGCGGCCGTGTTTCTCCCGGAGGAAAAACAGCGCGCGGCGATGAACAACATCGATTAAACGTTTCCCCGCATGAATTAAAGAGACTGTAAAAATTTGTTTACCTCCGGGAGCCACCTCGCGACGGACGGACGGGCCGGCTGCATTTTCAAATGATTTAAATTTCAGATTGCTCAAATGACCAAAACCCCCCGGGGGTTTCTTTCGTCCCTCTCCCTTCCGGCGCCCACTTCTGTTTCCCTCCTCGCGGAGAGACCCGGGGAGACCCGGATTCATCAAGAAGGAAATAACAGTAGAAACAGCATTTCAATCATGCGATTTAATAAGGGAAAAAGCGCGCGGACAATGCAATTAAAAGGATAGCGGAGCCGTTAGTCTCGCGGCACGACGGATCGACTCCAACTTCCGTCAATTAAGACACGCGAATGCTCAAGCATCGAGAGAATCGCGGCCGTCTGATCCTTCTTGACCACGAAGACGGATCCGCGTGAATTTGGGACTCTTTGTTCGCGAACCTAACCACGGGTGACGAATCGTGAGGGATTTGACGTGACGCGCTGAATAACATTTAGGTCAGCTCCTCGCTCTGCTGGCGATCTCTCCCAATTTTACGCTTGTCACTTATCTGTCGTGTTTTGCAGCTCAAAATTGCTTTTGCAGGCGGCGCGCGTGGCGCTCGGGGCAGCAAAGTGTCGAAGCGGGCGAAGCCCCTCGATCCCGACGAGGACGACTATTACTACGATGATCCCGTGGACGAGAGGAACAATCCGACGAACGAGGCGCCGGCCGTGCCGCCCGGATTCCTGAGCCCGTCCGTGCGGGAGTACCTCGATCTTGGTAAATCGATACCCGGTACGTAAACAAGATCATCTCGCGCAAAGTTGTCCCTTTGTGAGCCGCTTGTCGGCCCGGGGGCCGATCCCCGGTCAACGTGCAACAGAGTCTCGCTCCTTTCCGCCCCACTTGCTCCATTTCTCTGTGTGTGTGTGTACAGCTTCCGGGATACATCCTTACTCCGCTCCGCTTCATTCACCCTCTTCTTCCCATTCTTCCAGGCGGCGCATCGCCTTCCCGCCGCCCTTCCTTCCGCACCGAGCACTCTTTTGAAATCGAGAGTGGACGCGCGTCGCGTAAGAGCCGGCCGATCATTATTTCTCGCTCGCGAGAAATAGAGTACGACAATTTTTGTGCACGCAGACAAGTCGGGCTCGCGAGCGAGCGATTTCGTCGGGTAAGGGGAAATAATGAGGAAATGGAGAAAGCAGGGGATATGATGAAATAAAGGAGACAAGTCGATTGCGTAGGCGCTCCTCCGTCGAACGCGTCTTCCGTATTCCCGGGCAGAAAACATTTCACGCTCGACGGTGCCAGACTGCGAGAAATGTCAGGAACGCGGGGAGTTACGCGCGGAATTGACCCTTTACTTTAAAGTACCGTCTGCGACCATTTCGCTTTATTCATAAGGACGGGGAGAACGCGCGCCGAATCCGCGGGAAATACGCAACTGTATATAACGCTTGAGTAATCTAATACATTCGTGGAATCGTCATTTCCGAGCGGAAAGTTTCGCGCGGAAAGATATGCATCCCGGAGGAAAGTTTCATTAATCTTGATCTACTTGCACACAATGCTGATACAAAGCCTGACGAAGTATACAAGGTGGCCCAAGATGCGTGGATGGTAATTCAGAGAGAGCCATTCGCTGAAATAAATCTCGAGACCGATGTTCCTCTCAGAATAAAACTATCGGGACACCAATAGTTTTCGTTTTCAATCTACGACGGTCGGTTTTCACATACAGCTTCGATATAAAAATTAATTGTAAAGATATTTATCCCAATTTCGTCGCAATGTGACTTTCGCGAAATCACTCTAGACCGTTTATTGCGATAAATATTACCGCGTGCCTCGGTGGTCGAATTGGCGAGACGCCCGCCCAGTGAGAGGCAGGTCCAGGTTTAAACCCCGCACTGCAAAAAAAATCTGGTAGATTCTACCAGTGGTCTGTTGGAAAATGGACGAATCAGAATTCCTTTAGGATTTACTAGATGTATAATGAAGTCTATCAAACTTCTGATTATGAGATATCGAGCCCTATCGTGATAACCAGCAGTTCTGTTTGGTTAGACCAAAATACATTCTATTATACATGTCTTGTTGATACAATCAAAGCATTTTTTCTCAGTGCGGCTGAGGTAAATTTTTCGCAATAAATGAAAAAGTTAAAATCATTTCGACCCCCTGTCTTGGCTGTTAAACCCTTTATTAAAGCCAACGGCACACGACACTACTTTTCTTACTAGATTTCTTACGAGAGCCAATAAGGATGCAGAGTTTTAGATCAGATGACATAAGACTAAATCCCGATTGGCTCTCGTAAGCGACCAAGTAGAAAAAATAGTGCCGTGTGCCGTGGGTTTAATTGCAGGCTTATGAAACGAGTCCTGTAGTAACAGGTAAAAATTAAAAGTTGTCGAAATTAACACGAACGGGACGACAAAAAAAACTTACGAATGGTAAACTGCGAATCACGAATAGTATTGCGTGCTGTTGGCTTTACTAACGTCCGATCGAACGAAGAAGAGATCCGTGATTCCCGGCGATTATCGGGACACCCCGTGCAACCCGTTCTACACGAGATGACGACTGCGCGGCGATGCCGCTCGCGCGAATGAAGCGCCAGGTCGAGCGAGATACGCTTTGCCGCGGCGGCTGCTACTGCGATTATACAAGATTTGCCGGCCGCAAATGGATGGGATTTAAATCTAGACGGACGACGCAATACCGCCGGGCGTTCATGAACACCCTTCAGCGGGTAATCCGGCCGACAATAGACGCCGGAATGAGGAGGAAGATGCCGGCGCGAGGCGGAAGTATAAGGAAATACGTAGCCGCATACCTCGACGAGCAATAACTTATCTTCTACCCGCTTCTTACCTTTTCCTCCTCGTTTCCGCAATCGCATAAAGCGCGCCCGGGCCGGAGGAGGAACTCGTCGAGTATGAGGCGCCGCTTCGTTCCGCGGAGATAGCGGCAATTTCACTGATATTCCGCGGCTCTCCGCTCAGACGAGGCAAGAAGGGCACAACCACGTAACGGCCGTTTGTCGCCCGTCAATTTTCCCACCGTGTCTCTCCCTAACGTCTCCCGAAAGTTTCTCCCCCCCCCCTCTCGGTTGACTTACGCGCTGTTCGATATGGATTTTATGATCTCGGCGAAACATTTCTTTAAGTCCCTTGTGTCCACCGTCGCTTATTGAGGTTCGGCAGCGATTTGGAATGCGTGATTGCTATTTCCGATACAGGCTGCGCTTAAACATTGCAACTTTGTATACCGTATACTCTAAAAAATACGTGATTATTATTATTATGCGATTAGAACACATGAATTCTCGGAGCACAGTATTGAGTCAGGACAATGTGGCTTCGTCAACAAGTTTCACGGTATTAGGGGCTTTAGTCGGTTAAATCTGCTTGAATTAAGCAGAAACAGCGGCGGATTTGTCGATAAGCGCTTTAACAGATCGCTTAGGGCCTCAAAATTGGCCCGTGATATGATTAGTATTTTACAGATTGCATAATCAAGCCACGCAATGAAGCGTGACAATTATCGAACATGTCGAAACTTGGAGCCTGCGGAGACGCAAAATTAATTTGGAACGCCTGGAAGATAGCCATGTGCGCGACAACTTTTGCACTTAGCGCAAAATAAACAAACCGCTTACTAATGGGCTTCTGTAATTTACATTCTGTGAATTACGCGTAATGCACCGTCTCTGTTTTTTTTTTCACGCCGGTCCTCGGCCGCCGGTGCGAAGAGGCGGTCGCTTTTCGTTTTAAAAATCATTACTTTAAGGCGAGGTAACTGCATTAGTAGCATCATAAATTCACGTCAGTGTAACCGAACGAGAAACGCTATTAATCTCGACTTCAGCAGTGATGCTGCAGCCTCTCCCCCCTCCGCAACACTCTTCCGTTCCGAAGAAAATTTGTACTATAAATCATAAAAAAATTAACGACATAATTAGCGATCCGTTCCAGAGTCGAAATTGTAGTACTATTTTGGTACTTTTAAGGACAATTTACACCTACTTAGCTGATCTATACACCTACATAGACCAGCAATTACCTACTTTGATGACAATCTTTAATTCTAAAATTTTATTTCAGCTCCTACTTAAAAGGACCTACTTAATTGGCAAAAGTAGAAATTTCCGACACTATCAGTTTTAAAGTAGGAGTCAATTTTGTACTTGCAGTTCGACCTCTTTTACTGTCTTAGGTCCTACTATATAATAGAATTAAGGGTTCAACATATTAGGGCCAAAATTTCGACTCGGGTTTTCATAAGAAATAAAGAGTCGCGAGTAAGAGACGCAGGATCCACGGTGTATTCCACGGTTGAGAGATAACAGAAAGCTCGCCGCAAATCGGAAAGGTGGGCGAAATTAGCGGCGCATTTTTAAGTGCGGCTTATTCTCAAGTGCTACCGCGATAATCTTGTTGGCCATTAAACGCGCGGTCATACCGCATTAAGCGCGATTTATGTCACTTTGTGCCGGCTAATGGGTTCTTTGAAGGCCCGGCTTTGAATTTCAACGCTGACCTATCGTAACGCGAGCGGGTAAGCGGCATCCGCTTCGATTTGCCTCGGTCGCCCTACGGAGGGCGAACGTCGGCCGGCGGCGAACGGTTTCTCTCCCTTTAGCCGATCGATCGTAAAATATTTGCTGCAACCTTCGCGCACGGAGGGAAAATTCCTATAATGGAGTTTGCACATCGCGCCACCGGAGGGTAGATAGAGGAGGTTTGAAGAGAGGAGGCTGTGCGCGCGGCAACCCCTGCGTGTGCACGTTACACGCGATAGAGAACGTCGGCCGGGGCTGATTTATAAGGGAACGCGTGCAACGCGGGGGTGTTTGGCGCGCATAAAATTCATACACTAAATTAAATATGGCCATAAGTACCCGGAGTACTCGCATGCACCGAGCACTCGTGAAACTTTACGGAACGGAGGGCGATTATTTATCTCGGGCTCACGCCCGAAGGGGTTCAGGTTCGTGCCTGTCGTGGAAGCGACGAATAACATACGCGGTTAATCCGCCCGACCATTGTTCTACGAGATCTGATTATTTGATAACGCGTTAAATGTATTTCGTGTCGCGCGATTAAATCGACCGCGCGCTTTTGAAGCGCGCGCGGCCTCGGTGTAACGCGAGCGTCGACGTTTAAATCCCCGCTCGTGCTTTATAGCCGGCGATAATTGTCCCGCGATGATAAATGTATAAATAAGTGTGACGCAACAAACGAGTGCGTCGGGCGCGGAATGAGAATGGCCTCGAATTTCCGGGAAATACGAATATCGGGGGCGGGGTAAAAAGGACTGCTCCGGAAATGTCGGATCCTTTTAACGCCGCGCGGAGGAGTAATCTGATAATATTCCTCCAATATTTCAAAAATGAATCGGGCATGGATTATCGGTACATCCATTTCCCGAGCGATCCGATAAATGTGCAGCGCGACGAGCGAGCCCGCGCGAATTTGAGAAATTTGCCAGGGCGCCAGCGTGAAATTCCACGAATATTCATCGATGACGGACGGAGACCGTCGTCGACGTTGACGTCAATCTTGCAGCGTGGAGCGACAACGATGCGACGGCGACGACGTCGTCGACGACGTCGGCGCGCCTCTCGCCGATGTGACGAGGGCCGATTAGCGCTCGCAAATTCCCAAACAATGCACAAGGAATTTACGACGCCGTCGCTCCGTCGTAAACTCCAGTGTGTCGGCTAACTACCGTGACACTCTTCAGACAAGGGCTGATTATGCTGCCCCGAAGCGGCTGAAACGTTGCAGGGCGCAAAGGGAGCGGCGGAGCAGTGTCGATGGGGATGATCGTACAGTGACGGAGGGCAAAGACGTCAAGTAAACAGCCAGACGGCAAGTGTAAAGAGGAGAAAAAGAGATATGGAGGGACTAAAACAGCGAGACGAAAAAGAGAGCAATTATGTAGAATATAATTTGCCAACGGGATAAAATTGAGTCTACCCTTCAAAAAATCAAACGGTCATACATATCTTGCGTTTGTATCGCTGAAATAAACAAATGGTTTGGAAATAAAACAGAAAGAAAATCCGAGATGTACGTCAAGAGATGTAGTGAAGAACAATTTGATGAATCGAAACTTTACGTTGGCATTTTGCGGCTACAGACCTGTAAATCGTTCGCCCCTGCGTTCGAGGGCACGTTCCATTATCTATCCCGAAAGATTTCGATACCGGCATATGTAAAAAGGTAGCTCGCACACTCAGTGAATAAACTCCGTTTCGTTCCCGGTACAAGGCAATAAGATCATCCCCGAACGAGGAACGTGGAGGTAAGGATAGCTGCGACGCCGAATCAATATGGTAGCGTAAACTTATCTCATTGACTTAACGGGTCTCAATCTCCCGAAGGGTCGCGCAGAGGCGCGCGATCCTTCCCTCGCCCTCTGCCCCCCCGGATCTCGGTGTGCCACTCCCGGATAGGATAATGAAATAGTCCGACCCCGGATGAACTCTGCACCAGCGTGGCTCTCCTCGATGTCACGGCAGTTCCTGCGCGCAAGAGAGAGAGAGAGAGAGAGAGAGAGAGAGAGAGAGAGAGAGAGAGAGAGAGAGAGAGAATATATGTGTGTGTTTACATATAGATTGAACCCGTCAGCAGTGATCCATCTCCGTCTTTTCATCAGACGTCATTTTGGAACAAGGTGAAGACTGCCGCCTCTCTTCCCTTTGGCACAGGTATACCTAAACGTAGAAAATAATATGTAAAAGTACATAAAATAATCCAAAAACGTATTTTGTGTAGAATTCATACTACATCCGACATTCAATGTACGACGTCCGATATTCAACAGAA